CCCCACCCCGAAACTTCTTGGAAAAACGCAGGAATAGCGACTTAAAAATACGTTATCATGTCTTCCATCATAAGAATTTATGACCAGTCATTGACATTTAACCTATTATCTTTGCACTTACGTCACATGACGTCGTAAAATATCGAACAGGTCAAATCAAATGGCAAATCGCAAAGTACTCGAAACTTACATCATCACGGAACAGTACTTAAAGAATGTTGATTTGATTAGTCGAATTGATATTGGATTTATTATTACTTTGTACCTGAAATGGAAAGTTGTTTTCCTTAAAAACAGGTATATTTTTATTTTTTATTTGAACGCCTTGAAACATATGATAAAGTACATTATATATTGGTATTTTCAAACGTTTAACAGATCGATTTTTTTTTTTCAAACTTCACACTTCTTCTTCATGATCTATTTTGAGAGGAGTGTTGTCAGAATCCTAAAATTAAGACGTCACATCTTGTTTGACAAGTAAATAGAATTTTACTATTTGTATTTGACATTTTTTTTTTCAAATTAGAGAACAACAGTGCTTTTTCTTTTAAAAATAACAATACCTTTAAGGACTATTATACTTGCACTACAAATTATTTTTCCACGTACCTTTGATCCTTCATACTGACAGTCTTCTTGTTCCTTGTAATGATAGATCTGATGTAACTGCAGTCTTGGCTTCCTCATTGTTTTTATACTGTTGTACTAGAACCTGTTTACCTTCGGGCACATGTGCAAAGCAGGCCTATGGTGAAATTTGCTATAGTTTTTGTTAGGAATGAAATATAACACTGACACATTTACTGTCGGTTGTGAAGAACAATGCACCAGATGTTTATGGGAGGTACTCAGTGGTGTCACATAAAAACATACCATAATTTAGCTCATCTTTGAGTTTTGAAAAAATGTCATAATTTGAAAGTATCGTCGTGCTTTACATAAAGTGTTTCAAGGCGATGTGTAATCTTCTAGACAGCAGGGTTTTGACCTTACCATATGATAACATTTCCCGTTTACTATCGTAGCAACTGATAGCCCATAGAAAGTACTTGTACACCCAAAAACTGTACAGTCTCTTGTTTTCGCAGGGATTATTGCCCTAGAAGTAAATAATTTAAAATATACTGTTTTTTATTTTCATGAATACTGGTTGTAATGAAGGTGTGGAAGTTAGCTCGGTCATGCAAAATAACACGTTCAAGAGTTGTGTAATAATTTGATCAACAGAGCTATTGATAATGGACTTCTGTTGCCTTTGAACCACTCATAGAGGACGGTGATGAGCAGTTCCCCTCAACATTAAGCTTTGATGTATCTCTGCATTGGCTACGTTGCCAGAGGTGCCAACTGTACGCCGACACTTTTGGCGCTAAAACTCATTGTTCAAGGGAAGGAAGAGTTGAGTGGTATTTTTCAGTTCGCTTAATATTTAAAAAAATAATTCAGAATGGTTATAGAAAAGTGCGGAAAGATGTTTGTTATAAAGAGAGGTAAGGGTCAATTACTTTTAGGTAACACCCATTTCGTAGACAAGGGTAGCCGTAAATTCATTGAGGGACGTGGGTATTATGCTTGGTTAGGAGTCGTTTCTACGCATAAATTTGGAGTAGAAAAGACGCGTAAATGTTTGTAATTAAAAGAGGTAAGAGAGGAGAAGTTTGATTCAAAGAATAAAAAACGTAATCTTTCTACCATCCAGTAATACTAGCCGGAACCTCCTAATAATCTGAGTTATTCCACTATCAACCATCATTATAGAACACTTTCACCTCTGTATTTCAACTGAAACTATCAAATAGCCCTCACATTTCGCCCAATTTACAAAATAATAGACATACATTCAGAGACGAATCAGATGTTCCTAACCTAACTTCCTGTGGTTGATCAAGTATTATTAGTCCTGGTTCAAACACAGCCTGTTTAATCACATGTAATAGGCAGTTATTACATTCAGTATTGATTAGGAATGTTAAAAGTAACTGCTGGAAAAATGAAAAATTGGCATGCTGAAGAGATGAGAAAGAAAGGTCAGTGGAAGAGATAGTATCTCAGTTTTTGGACATTTGAACTGTAATGAGAAACCTAACATTACGTAGTCTGTACGTGTCATTTAGCCAAACACAGTTGTTCGCTTAGTCTGTAACAGCTACCGTTTTCAATTCACGTCTGTACCTGTAAATGTTATAGGCCTAGTTAAAATTATCTACTTACATATGATAATTAGGATTTAATATAATATTTCCCAGGTGGACGTAAGGAGGAAGTTCATTTTGACAAAATTACGACAAGAATTGTGAAGCTGTGCTACGGGCTGGACATGGACTACCTTGACCCAGTAAGTAGTGGTACATGCACATGATGGCGTAATATTGGATTGTCTGTACGGATTGAATAAATGAAGCATTGCTCTTTGCAGCCAGTGATCACAATGAAAGTGGTTAATGGTTTGTATTCCGGTGTAACAACAGTGGAACTGGATAACCTGGCCGCTGAGACTGCTGCTACCATGACAACCAAGCATCCGGATTACGCGATTCTTGCAGCCAGAATTGCCGTCTCCAATCTACATAAGGAAACCAAAAAGACTTTTAGTGGTAGGTAAAATAGGGAGGTTATGAGAGAACAAGTATTTTAAATTTAAAAAAAAAATGGTAAAATTTATTGTAGTCATTCCCTACTCTTCCATTAGCGTGACGGAACTTGTGCAAGACTTGGCTCCTTTACTTTTGTAGAAAGAGCCCCATTGAATTGGAGGCTGGGAGGGTATCAGAGCTCGTCTGGACCTCGTGTTGAGAGAAATCCCTTTCCATACCCGGAATTTAAATCCAGTTATTCTACCGACTGAGCTGTTCTGACTCAATAGCGTTATGAAGTGTCTTTGAACAACGTTAGGAATATGGTTTGTCTGGTCTAAATTCTTTAATCAAAGACGTGCAACATGCAAGTAAATCTCCCAAAATCTGAAAGTTTATATGTTTTTATAATATGTGTGTACTGTGTGATTGTTACGGCTAAGTGGTCATGTTCAGAAGGTCTTAGTTCCCTTCTTGATCCAGAGACTGGCTATCCTGACTGATGTTTTTTGTGTTTTTCCTTAGTTCCTCCAGGCAAATGCCAGGATAGTACCTTAAATAGGCATGACAGTGTGATTAAATATGAGCCGGGATAGCTCAGTCAGTATAGTGACTAGCTACGGGCTGGACGACCGGGGTTCGATCCCCGACGGGGGCAGAGGATTTTTCCTCTGGCCTCTGCGTCCCGGCTCTGAGGCCCACCCAGCCTCCTCCACAATGGGTACCCGGGTTCTTTCCCCCGGGGGTAAAGCCGGCCGGGGCGTGATGCTGACCACTCACCCCCATCTAGTGCCGAGGTCAAGGAAGAGAGGAGCTATACCTCCGCTCACCCCAAGAGCCTTTATGGCACGTAGGGGGACAAACTTTACTTTTAGTGTGGTTAAATAAATCACAAGTAAACAAAACATGTCATGCAGGTAACATTCTGGAATTTTATTTCAGTGGACTCTGTTTAATTCTTCCGTCAGATTACTGTATATCCTGATA